GGTTTTTTTTTTTAGTTTCATGAGGCTGCGTGATAATGGTCTGACAGGTCAAAGGTCAAATTGGAGACAGGACAGCTTTGAAACTAAGAATTTCAAACTTCGCCCTTTGATCAACTGACATCAATGTTCTGACCCAGCCTCTTAATTCGGTGCTGAGTGTTGACCCATTACTGCAGTACCACAGTAGTACTCCTAATGAGTGTACTGGACCAGTCCATTGTGAAGTAACTTCAGGTACAGGTCTCTAATCTCTGACCAGGTAGTGTTCAAACTAAAGCATTAGAAACACAACATGACTCTGTGTTGCTCGTCCACCAGGTGGCAGTACAACACAATCTTGTAAGTATGGAAATATAGGGGGCGGAGGCCAAATGAAATGAGAGACAGGCAGGTGAAAGATGAGGAGAAAGCGAGTCTGGAGACACACACGCCTACACACACTTCAGAGAAACACATTTTAAAATGTATACTTCAGAGTATATTATAGATACACATACTTTACAGATACACAAACGGCACAGATACACGTACTTCAGAGAAGTACTCTACACGTCTGATGAGCCTTTATCCTAAAGCACATTAAAAGCACCTGATCAAAAAAACCTAATCAAATCAGAGGATTTTTTTTTTTTTTTGGGTAAGAAACCATTTAGTTTTTTTTTTTTTTTTTTTAAAGTCTATTTTTACAACCGCAGTGGTGACACCGTTGTATTCTTCGACCTGGTTCTGTTTGTTTTCATTCTTCTGCTGGGAGAACCTGAAGTATCTGGGGGATAACTAGGTCTGGATTTAAAGGAAGAATCTTTGTTGATGGAGACGATAGAACTGTTTCATTTTGTCGAGATCCTACTCTTAAGAACTGCTCTAAGAGAAAGTCTCAGAAAGTCTACAGTCTGACTCTAATACTAATCTACTGCTGAGGAGGAAACAGGGGATAACTGTAGAACTCCACATGGTCAGACCAGAAATTGAACCAGCAACGCTCTGCCAGAGGCGATCGCCTCAAAGAGTTTGTGACCGAGATAAGAGAGGTTGGAGGTGTACAGATCCTGTACAGAAGGTAGCTCGCTGCCAATTTACTTCTTGGCAGAGAGGATGATACGCTACTCAGGTCCGTCGCAGTGGCAGCAGCGTACCAGATTGAGATGGAGGAGGTGTAAAAGTTCCCCATCATTGTCTTTGGCAGTTGGAAGCGCTTCAGTGTTTCAGTGTTCGGGCTTTTTTGATGAGGGAGATGATGTTCATGTTCTCCCATTTGATGTCCTGTCTGATGAAGGTTTCTAGGAAGCGCGGAAGTGTACTATCCCATAGGATAGTATCCTACATGAACAATTTTGCCCTTTTCAATATCGGATTTAGAAACATCCATCCATCCATCCATCCATCCATTTTCATCCGCTTATCCGTTACCGGGTCACACTGCACCGTACCAACCCCCATGAACCTTCCTGCGGGTGGTGAGTCCACTGGAAGGTACCAACCGCGCTAACTGGGATTCGAACTTGCCCAGGGGTTCCACACCAATGACAGAGAGACATTGCCTCTGGGAAAAAGCGCCACAATTAGAAACATATTGATATATATTACAATATCGAGATATCGCCCAGCCCTGGTTAGGGCTAACACAGAAGTGGGCAAACGGTTTGACCCGCGGGCCACAATGAGTCCTAAAATTTGAAAGGGGGCTAGGTCAGGAGCAGATAGATGGAGCGTTCATGTTAATTAAAACAACTGACATAAAAGTCACAAGTGCGAAAATGCTTTTCTACGCCATCTACTGGAGAAATGCAAGCATTGCAAGGAAAAGGCAGAATAGTTCATCATAGAAATGAATAACATAATTTGGACACGTTTGGGGGGCCGGATTAAAAAGCCAAACGGGCCACATCTTGCCCCCGAATATATACATATATACACATATATATACATATGTATACATATATATACATATATACACATATATATACATATGTATACATATATATACATATATACACATATATATACATATGTATACATATATATACATATATACACATATATATACATATGTATACATATATATACATATATACACATATATATACATATGTATACATATATATACATATATACACATATATATACATATGTATACATATATATACATATATACACATATATATACATATGTATACATATATATACATATATACACATATATATACATATGTATACATATATATACATATATACACATATATATACATATGTATACATATATATACATATATACACATATATATACATATGTATACATATATATACATATATACACATATATATACATATGTATACATATATATACATATATACACATATATATACATATGTATACATATATATACATATATACACATATATATACATATGTATACATATATATACATATATACACATATATATACATATGTATACATATATATACATATATACACATATATATACATATGTATACATATATATACATATATACACATATATATACATATGTATACATATATATACATATATACACATATATATACATATGTATACATATATATACATATATACACATATATATACATATGTATACATATATATACATATATACACATATATATACATATGTATACATATATATACATATATACACATATATATACATATGTATACATATATATACATATATACACATATATATACATATGTATACATATATATACATATATACACATATATATACATATGTATACATATATATACATATATACACATATATATACATATGTATACATATATATACATATATACACATATATATACATATGTATACATATATATACATATATACACATATATATACATATGTATACATATATATACATATATACACATATATATACATATGTATACATATATATACATATATACACATATATATACATATGTATACATATATATACATATATACACATATATATACATATGTATACATATATATACATATATACACATATATATACATATGTATACATATATATACATATATACACATATATATACATATGTATACATATATATACATATATACACATATATATACATATGTATACATATATATACATATATACACATATATATACATATGTATACATATATATACATATATACACATATATATACATATGTATACATATATATACATATATACACATATATATACATATGTATGTACGTATGTATGTATGTACAGTACAGTGCTTTTGAACATGTACTTAAAGTGTTCCTGCTTTTTATTCTCCGTTTTGTTCTCAGTCCCCTCGCTTAAGATGGCTGTAAACAATCTTAAATCTTAAAATCCGCAGAAGTCGTCAGATTTGAAAAATAAACCCCAGTCACAGATGTGAGTGCTTTGACTGCATGTGAAAGAAAGTGAACCAAAAACAGCAGAAGTCTTAATAATGCAACACCTCCCTGCCGCCGCCTCCCCCCAGGGCCCGTTCAGAACTGTGACATCGCACTTCAGTATGAGGATGGGTTTTCATGTTGTCAGTTGATAACATCACAACTTGGCAGGACAGAGCAGGGCTATAAAAACTCCACCTGTTCTCATATCCCACAATTGATTGCTATTTAATGTAAACACAGACGGGTGGTGTCACCCGGGGCAAAGTGCTCCCTCACAGGCTGCCAAATCGCCCCACCCATCCCTCTGATTCCATCTCAAACCTCTCCAGGGAGGAACATCGATCGGTTCTGCCATCATGGAGATTACTACTGCTGCTCTGAAAAATAATTCTGATTTATACTCAGCTGTGCTGTTTAACACACCTGCAGCTACTTTAGATTTTCAGATTTTCTATTTAATCAGTTAATAATAGTTGGAATTAACTAGGGTTGGGGTTAACCAAAAATTGCCCCCGTTGTCATATCATAACTCGGTTGCCAAACAAACCAACAATATCACTCGGGCAGTCAGTGATCACTAATTGACTGAGTGTGTAGCGTCAGTCTTGCCTCAGTTCGCGCTCCGGACATACACGCTAAGAACTGATTTTGCCGATATTTCTCGCGCTGTGCTATTTCTTTTCTTTTTTTTTATTCCATAAATCACCATTGGACCTAAAAAAAGCTAGTGAAAGTGGAAAGGTGGAAAGAAAAATAGTGAGAACAACAATAGAGAGATTTTAAGAAAGCATGAGAACGGAGCTCGTGTTTCAGATCTGGCTTTACCGAAGTCGTCGATTTGTACCATCATTTAGAACAAGGAAGCAATCAAAGAAGCTAAGGTTGACAAAGGAGTGACTGTGATCACCAAGCAAAGATCTCAGACATTAGAAGAAGTGGAAAAGTAGCTACTGATTTGGATCAGCCAAAAGCAGTTGGCGAACATTGCGCAATCACGGCTGCTCAGCAGGATGAATGAAATTGCCTTTCCTATCATCCGGGGTCCAGGAACGGACTAGTCCATTTTACATGGATACCTATGGGGAAATAGTTTTCTAACTTTTCACTTTACAAACGAATTCCACAGTATTTCATTTCACGATATTGTATCGATATTGTACAGAAATGTATTGACTTTTTTAAATTAACAATTCATATGAAAATACGAACGCCAGTTGGTTCATTTTATTTCGCATTTATTTCCTTGCTAGCAATTGTTCATTGTAATAATCGCTAGCAAAGAGATAGTAGTAATTGATCCATCTGTTTCAATTTTCGAAACATGTTGTTAAACGTGTAACAGTAATGTGTTTGCTATGCTGACAGTGTTGCTAAAATGAAATTATCTGGAAAAAAAAATCAATACATAGTTGTGCCAAAAGTATTGCAGTATATCGCGATATATCGTTTTGTTGCCCCAGATTCAAAATATGCAAATATACTCTACTTTAATTAACATCCGACACCAAGTCAATCCGTCTGTGGATGAGTTCTATGCAGATGACATTCCTCTGTCACTTGTATTTGTATAATCAGTAGAACTGCATTCAGGAAATAACAACAAAAACTCAGTATTTTTCTGACTCTGGCTTCGCAGATTGTACCTAAAATGCAATTGTCTGAAAAAAGGAGGGGGGTAAAGAGCAGATGCAGTGAGCAGCCTCTGGGAGGGAACTATTGACACCATGACATGTTCATTTGTGACTGGTGCTGAGCCCCGGGAGCCTGTGCTGCAGCTGCTTAGAACGCTGACCTTGACGCACCATGTATGCACCAGGGGTGGTACATGGGAGAGACGTCATATTCCTGTTCAATGGGTTGTGTTTATTTTATATTATTCATGGTTTTTGTATCAGGTTTGAGTCTAACACGTGAGAGAGAGAGAGAGAGAGAGAAATGCCGGAGGGAGAGACAAAGTTCGAGATGATGACAGAGAGGGATGGTACATCAGCCACACGGAAACCAGTGAATCAGCTGAGTGTTGCAGTTCCTGTCCACGAGGAAGCGACCGAGAAGGAGAGAGAGGGAGAGGGGGAGGGAGAGGGAGAGAGAGGGGGGTAATAAAGCAATGAGAGGTGGGGATGAGACAGGTGGGGGGGGGGGGGGAGGGGGGGGGGGGGGGGGGGGGTGCAGAGAGGGAAGCATGCGGGCTGCTGGAGAGAGACGAGGACGGTGGCGTGTATCCCCCTCCTCCCCTCCATTTGTCCAGTTGCTTCCCTCCTCCCTGGTTATCTCTCCATCTTCCCATGCGTCTGTGAGCCTCCCTCTCCTCCCGCACCTCCGTCGGTACATGACCGAGCCGGGGAAGAATGTTGAAGTTCCGCGTGGACCGGAGAGCCAGGTAGGTGCTGAGAGAAGAGGAGGAAGTGACATGTAGAGCCAGGGAGCAGGAGGGGAGGGGGGAAGGGGATGGGGGGGGAGGTTGATGGAGGAGCAGACCAGCGGCGACCAGCTTGGAGGTCAGAAATGACTGCAATGCAGTGTTGGTGCAAAACAGCGAGGTCTGTAGGTCCTGCCGTATGAGGATGGTGGAGGTATGTGTGTGTGTGTGTGAGTGTGTGTGACGCAGTGACAGAAAGAAGCCGGATGTTTGTGTTGTGTGTTTAAGTTTAACACCATGTTGGTGATGCTGAACTTCTCCTGGTGTTCGTCCGTTCCTACTGTTCTCTGTTGATGTGACCGTGGATTAGATTAGATTAGATGAGATTCTTTTTTTTGTGAAGAAAGTTGTTTTTTCGGACAAGTTGGAATTGACTGAAGTTTCAAAAGTCACACGTGTTCTAGCGCAGAATCGTCGGACGATGACCTGAAGTGAGCGGCTGTAGCTCTCCTGCGCTACAGTGTAGTTGGTGATTGGTGACGACTGTTCAATCCAGAGTCGTCACCCACAGTCACACCGGTCTGAAAGTTCGGGGACTTTGGATGGAAAAGACAGAGGAGCTGCAGAAGTATGTTTGGAAACTTCACCCACAGCTGTGATAGAGCCATGTTGTTTTATATACAGCTCCACCTGCAAGACTGACGGACGGATGGATGGATGGATGGATGGGACTGACGGACGGCTGGATGGATGGATGGATGGATGGATGGATGGATGGATGGATGGGTGGACGGAGGGACAAATGATTTAGTTAGAGACACACACACCCTGCTCTGAGCTGATCCTCAAGGAAGCATGAGAACAAGAACAACATCCGTCTGTGGTGCTACAGAAAGTCACCATCAACCTGTTGCTACAGTTTCACCAGACAGGAAGTGATGCAACAGTCCAAATTTTCACCTCTTTGAAAGTCTAACTTTGACATTAATTCAGTTTAGCTGACAGGACGTCTGGACACAGACATAGGGAGGTCAAGGAGGAGTTAAAAAAAAAACAAACAAACTCCAGAAGCAGAAGTTCAGAAGAACTTCACCATCAGTGACATCATCACCTGGTCACCCAGACCCAGAGCAGCTCTCACCACTGCCAAAAGGCACCTGGTGTCAAACTGGGACCTAAATACAAACACTAACATTTAACGTTGCTCTGTTTTTTTCAGTCAACATGACCCGAGTGGACCAGCTGGACCAGCAGTGAGTCCGTTCCAGCTGGAGGAGCCGGCACCGAAACACTCCTACCTACAGTGAGTCTGTAGCCCAGTGGTGTCAAACATAAGGGTCGAGGGCCAGAACCAGAATTTCATAAAAGAAATACATACAATCTTACAACATATAAATTTGTAAAAAAAAGTTTAAAATCAAGTTTAAATATTTAGTGTTGACAAACAAACACTACATTCATCAGGAATATTTTCCCACGGCTTAATTCGCAATGTTTTCATTATGAAAACAGCAGCTGCACATGATTTTTAAAAACGTGAATTTTTTTTTTTTTCATTTTGATAATTTTTTTTCTTAATATTTATATTACATTTTAGAATAAACTACATTTTGGTCAAATTTGAAGGCTCCGAGAATCAGAAATGTAACTGTGGGAAAACTGTTCACAGCAGGTTTGGTCAACCTCTACGTTAACACGGACAAAAACACACACCCACTCACTCACTCACACACCCCCAGGGATACATACACAGGTGTAAAAAATATTTGCTTCCGTCTTTGCAGCCTCAGGGATACATACACAGGTATAAAAAATATTTGCTTCCGTCTTTGCAGCGACTGCGACCGGGACATGAATGGAAGAGTGAACACTGGTGCAGACAGAATCTCACAGTCCAACAGTACCACCATGGTGTCAGACCTGTCTTCAGATGCCCCCAAGCTAACGCCGCGGGTAAGAACATACACAGAAGCACAAATATTTAGACAGGGAGAAGGAGTCAGTCACACACACACGGACAGTCTTGTTTGTGAAGTTGCACCAGAAAAAAAAAAAAACAAAATACAAGAAAGACCGGACTATTGTATGTACAGTTACAGTACCTTCTCACAGAGGTCTATGTTCAGGAGGTGAGTCCAGTGTTTTGAGTTCATTCTGGGATTTAAAAATCTATCTATCCATATATCTATCTATCTATCAACTATCTATCTATCTGTCTTGCTATCTATCTGTCCATCCATCTATCCATCCATCTATCGATCTATCCATCCATCCACCCATCCATCCATCGATCGATCCATCTATCTATCTATCCATCCATCCATCTACCCATCTATCTATCTATCCATCCATCCATCTACCCATCTATCTATCTATCCATCCATCCATCTACCCATCTATCTATCTATCCATCCATCCATCTACCCATCTATCTATCTATCCATCCATCCATCCATCCATCCATCCATCTATCCATCCATCAATCCATCCATCCATCCATCCATCCATCAATCCA